GCAAAAGATGTGGAAAAGCAAAATCCTTTGGCTCAATTAGAAATATTTTAGAATCTGGATTTAGCATGTCTGGAAACGTTGCCTGCTCCCTGCACGGCGAAAGCAGGAGGAGGATCATATCCAACAGGCATCTGTCTAGTGGAGCCGTGGTGCCTTTTACCTTGGGCACCCTCCCAGGTCGCCCTTCTCAGACCACGCAGGCACCACACATTGCAGCAGGGCTGGGTGTTGCCACCGCTCTCCTCATCATGAGTCACCCTATTTCGTCTTCTATTTGAGACTTAGACTCCCTTTTAACTGCATGCCGGGGCTACCTCTCCTCTTAGCAATGCTGATTCCAGTCTGTAATAGTCCTTTTTTTTATTTCCCAAGTGACTGCCTCAAAAGCTTAGCTTGCCTGGGTTGGGGAAGCTTAACCCACCCTTCACATGCTGCCTCTCCTTGGCAAAGTAGTGAATGCTGCTCTGCGCGTTCGTAGTTTGCCTGCAGTTTCTAAATCAGTATTTCAAGGCCTAATTTTAGAAAAGTCAGTGGAAAGAGACTTTTTTTCCATTGTACCGCAGCTTCCTAAGGGATAGTTTAATCTCTGTTCAGCTCCCCAGCTGCCCAGGGCTTCTTCAGGCTCTTGTGTGCGTGTCCTGAAGGAGAGGCACCAGGCACAAGAGTCAGAGGGCTGAAAAGCAGCACCAGGGGAGAACGTGCTTTTCCAGTGACAGGTTGGACTCGCCCACAGCCAGGGATTGATCGTGTCCTTCAGAGGAACCTAAAGCTCCTTAAAGCTTGTGGAGCCGGGAATGTGGCATGGGGGTAAGCAGTGCAAACCACCAAGGTCAGAGACGATAGTGAATGATCCGTCCTCTCCACCATGTGCCTTCGAGGCCTCCTCAGCACCGGGCTCGGAGCAGCCATACACCTGACTGGCCAGTGTTCCCTGGCCAGGAACTGCATCTCCCCAGCCCAGGAATACCAGAAACACCCAAAATCCTCATGCTTATTCCAAAGGCAAACTCAGTGCCAAGCCTGGGCTGCTTCTGCATCCTGGGGTGACAGGGAGGGTAGTCCGTAAAAGGGCTGAGCTGTTTCCCTGTTTACATTTTGCAAGTGAAAGGGACATTTCACACCATTTTACTGCAGGGTCCCTTGACTCTCTATGACAGGAATATGAAGGAATAGGAAGATGATTAAGGGACTGGAGCATCTATTGTATGAGGAAAGGCTAGATGAGCTGGGTCTGTTTAGGCTAGAGAAGAGCAGATTGAGAGGAGATCTGATCAACATGTGCAAGTACCTGAGGGGTGAATGTAGGGAGGTTGGAGCCAAACTCTTCTCCGTGGTGGCCAGTAACAGGACAAGGGGTAATGGGTGCAAGCTGAAACACAGGAAGTTCCACCTCCATGTGAGGAAGAACTTCTTT